TTTTGGGACGAGTGCTTTACATCAAAGGTGTGTACTACTGTTTTTGTCGTCACTTGTCTATTACTTGTAACGGTGTATGCTTCCTTTGTGCTTGAACGAATACTTGTAGTGATATTGCTTAAACCAAAGGGTAAGAAATAGAATTTTTAAGATGCGATGACCGTGAAATTTATTCCTACACGTTTGGTAAGACGGATTGGACGACACTGAACTATATTAAATACCAAAAAAAAACAAAAAGGTTAAAATTTCACGATCTCATATCACGTGACAAACATGCGTTACAACTTGTACTTGCGGTGTTCACCATTTTTTGTTTGGCATCACTCTTTGTGATTTAGATTTGAAACTTGTAATTGTTTCATCTTTTAAGGAGACGTACTTATCAATGAATATATTGAGCTTTATGTCTCAGAATGTTGATTTCCTCTTGAAACCTTTGAACTTACATCCAGTGTTGTCAAAGACAATAGTCGACAAATTTGCTGCTGTTGGAATACTCCAGGTATGAAGCAACTTCCAGTTTGAGACATTTAGTTCGCCATTTCTTCAGCAAATTTTGTTTTAGGAGGATCATCCTTCAAATCTTATGCAGAATTTTTGATGAAAAGATCCACCGATCAAATTTAAACTCTTCTGCATGTAAGATGGTGAATTATTGCAGCCTTTCCGTAACTAGAATGAGATTGATAACTTGTTGATTTCGAATATAGGAAATGCAATGAAGATATATAATTCATTTTTCTGTTAGTAACTTTCAAATAGATGAAATGCAATCAATGTATTGTTAGGTCTGTTATTAAATTTCGAATAGATGAAGCCTAACAAATGTATTGTTAGGAATTAATCCTTGCTCCTAATCCCTAGAGTAAAAACAGTAACACAACCGAAATACACACTATGTCCACTTGTTTCTTTTATTGGTTTCCATTTACAAGGAAAATTCCACCCTTCTGCCCTCTTTCTTTCATACATGGAAACAGCACAGACTCCTTTACATAGGACAGGGATTCAGGGCGAAATGTGGTTGAAGGGTTAAGTGATAGAGTATTGTTATTCATAGTCAGCGACTACACTAGTCATCCAATGTGACAGGTTGGTATTCGAGGAATTAATTTCCTATAATTTTGTTGTCTAGTGCCTCAAATAACAAGCTACCGCATATGATGACTACTGTAGTAACTGACTATAAATAGCATCACTGTAAATGATAAGTTTAATTAGACTTCACATAATCCAACGCATGTTATTTCAAATTGATCTTGAGTTTATTGGCATGTATTTGTTTGGAAAAACTTCTAATGCCCTATTTTTTAGTTACATATCTTGATTGAAAATTGGAAGTTCGGGTTGAATATTCAAGTTCATTTAGTTCTTGGAGAGAACTTAGAACTTGTTTGTGAGGGATTTTAATCCAATTAAAATTGAAAATATAGCCGCTATTGGGTTGCACCGGTCTAATAAAAATCAACAATAACTGTTAGTTTTTCAATTTTAATCTCTCCCAAACAAGCTCTTAATTTTCTTTTGGAGATTTTAACTACTATATCTTATCGAGTCTGTGTTGATCATTGGCAGGGGTACCTAGACTTTGTGAACAAAAAACCAAGTTTAAAATCGACGGAGTAAAGTCTTCCCTGATGGAAATATCTGCAAAAATTGTGTCAGTTCTTGTTTTTCCCTTTTTTTTTTTTTTGTGAGTGAAAATGTATGGTGCAGCTTTTTCTATAAGTAATTAGTTAATTAAAGAACCATTTAGGTATCCAGCTTTGTATGAGAAATATGGATTTTGCTATTCGTACGTCACTTTTTACCACCTTGTCGGCAGAAAAGTGTGTTGGCAATATTTTATTGGATGAAAAAACAATTTTTTTTTTTTTGGAAATTGCCTGATCTATCAAAGAAACTGTCAAATATGATTTTACAACTATAATAAATGTTGGAGACCAACTTGTACCTTTTTAGAAGTTGAGAAACAAAAATGAAAAAGTTGGATTTTAAGCTCCTATTTGGTAATAATTAAAGTTCAGATTTTAATCTAAATCAAAGTCAAGAATTAATTTAAATCATATATTTAATGGGTTTTACGATTTTTCAATTATATCTTTTAGAATAATGCTATTTATCTCCAATGTGGTTATAAACACGGTTTAGAGTTCCATTTGAGCCACCTCATTAGCTCATTAAAATGAAAAATATGATTGTTATTTATCACATCAATATTTAAATTCAAATTTTCTATCTCTTGTGTGTATCCCAATAACAGTTATATTTTTCATTCTCATTATACAATAATTTGGTTCAAACATGGAATAGATAGCTCTAAATGATAGGTTAAATGGAATGCGAAATTAAATAACTTATTTAATTTCGCATATTATTTAATGTCACATTAACGTGATTTAGATTGTATTTGTAACCTTATTGAGAATGAGAGTGTGTTTGGTAGAGATTTTTAGGAGAAAAATTGATTTTTGAATAGTGATATGATGGGAAATGTGTGGTTGAAAAAGAAGAAAAAAGTATTGATGTGATGGAAAATATTATTTTATTGAAGAATGTGTGGTTGAAAATGAGAAGTGATTTACTGTAGAAAAGGAGAATTGTTACCAAACAGGCTTTGAATAGCATTAGCCATCTTTCTTCAACTTCTGTTACAATCTTTTGAGAATAATTCAAATCCGTTTGTTCATTACATTTGAATGTGTTTGCTCTTCCCAAAGACCTTTTTGACTTTCTCTCGTCCTTCTCTGCTCTCTTTAAATACCTTAAAGACAAACTTCCAAAAGCAAGAGACTCCAAGGTCATTAAATTCATTGCAAGGGTACAACTGGAAACAGAGGACACAGGATGGGATGGATAGTCGTAATAAGGTGACCTACAATACACCGGATAATAAACGAGATATATTATTGGAGGAATTTGTTCAAGAGGGGCAAATATTCAGACCATTCTCTTATTGTCGATGCGGTCTATTCGGCTCGACATCGATTTTCTCTCTTCATGTACCTTTGAAAATTTGCAAGTTGAAATTTTGTAGAACGATACTCTTCTAGATACAAGCCAATGGACAATGTACATGAACATGTTTTTTGATCGAAATAAAGGAGAAATAAATTCTAAATCTCTGAAATGTTATATAATTTTGAATTACCAAAAATTGACTAAAGAAAGAAATTTATTTGTAATAAAAATAAATATTATAAACATATTAATTATTATTATTCTGACTACTTTCGTCCTAATCAAGAAATTTCCTAAAAAATTGGCTCACACTTTTGATTAGTTCATTGGTTGCATGAACATAAATGTAGGGGAAGCAATTCCAAAAGTACAACTAGCGAGTTGAGTGGGACGAATCGCTATTCGATTCACAGCGATCCATCTCGAGTACAAGTGGAGCAATGATTTTCTCATTTTAGTCACTCGTTTACTCATACAAGTTGGTATGTTAGCTTGTGGTTCACGTGAGCTGACTCACCGTATAAGTGAAAAATGCAATTTCAGTATAAAAAAATTTGGTTAGTCACGAACAACTCGTCCCATGAGCCACAATTTAGTTGAGTGAGTTGGTTCGAACTCGACTATTCTAACTCTACATACGAGCGCGAGCTGACTATTTAACACTCCTAAATACCTACTCTTTATAAAAATAAATAAAAATCCTTTGGTCCCAACTTGTCGAGTTACTGGTCCTCAATCCTCAAAAATGAGTTGAGTTTACAAACTTTAATCATTAAAAAAAAATCCATTAAATGGTAACACTACCCTCAAATGTCTGAAACTAGATTTGTTTGCCAACTTGGACTTGAGTTGATAATTTTGCAATGACAGTTGTGATAATTTAATGAAGATTTGGACATTTTCTATAGGTTGGATATCAACATGACAATTCTTTAAAAAAAATTTGTTTGGTGAGGATTAAAATCAAATTTTTATTAGATTGTGATAAAAGCTGATGAAATATGTAATTGAAAAGTTGACTCCGATGAAATACGTGATTAAAATTAATTATTGACTTTAACTTAACCCTTGTTTAATTCTCATCATTTCAAAAATACATTTTCTCTTTATTATCTTCAATTATACATTTTTCAATGAAATAATATTACACGAAAATTCAAAATCATCAAAATATTATCCCAAAATTTATAAGTAGTTATATTAAAATTTAGGTTTTAATTTCTTTCCAATATGGGCAAAATATATTTTTCTAAAAAGTATTAATTCCTTCATTTGTACTGTTCTTTTTGATAAGGACATGTTGGTACTTAGGTGCACCATGCGCCCAACTGTCCACCAATAGTTACAAAGTCGGTCAAAATCCTTACAAGTTACAACATCCCCTGACTAAACCCCTCTTCAAACCCTAATTAATTCATTAAACTATTCAAGAAAATAAAGGTATCTTCATCTTACCTTTTAATTCAAAACCTCTAATTTTTCTATTTCATTTCACTTTTGTCTTTACCCTCTCACTCCCTCTTTCCCAAAACTTCCCTTCCTCTCTCTCCTTCTCACTTTCTTGCATTCTAAATCTAGGGTTTTATTTTCCTTTTTTCCTTGATGGGTCGTGTTGTAGTTCAAGAACAGTTGGTTCTACAGGTCATTGGAGTAAATAATTTTCTGCATTTTGAGTATCTGTTCTTGGGATTTAATTTGTTTCAAGATTGAAACTTTTTGAGTTCCTTTTTCTCTTTTGGGATTCTTTGTTTGGTTAAGATCTAAAAATTTCTGTTTCTTGAATTTTTATCACTTCATATAATTTATGAAAAATTCATGTCAAACCCTTGTTGAGAAATTTAGCCTGTTCTGTTTTAGTGTTTTAATTTTTACGGTCTGTTTTTTTCTACATTTTCTTGGCAGTTTAATTCTGAATTCTTTGGTGGGTCAGTTTGAAATTTGCAGATTTAGGCTAGAAAAGGGCAAAGGCTGTATTTTTGCAGTGACAAAATTTATTAGAAATTAATCTTTAGTGAGTAATCTTGCTAAGTAAATGCATGGATGGAAGAGAGGGAATGGCATTACCGGGCTCCTCTTCATATTTCCTCAATAGAGGTGGAATAGGGGGGTCTGGGGGTTCAGCACCTGGTTCTAATGCTGCCGGTGGAGTGTCCAGTTCTTTACCGGCTGGCCTTGCGATGCATACCTCTCCCGGATTCAATCCTGTTTCAAATCCCAACATTCAACTGCAATCCAATGTAGGTGCTAGTGGTGGTGCTACAAGTGGTTCAACTTTCCATGTTGAGAACCAGTCTCCCAATTACCACCGTAGCATTACCAAGGGTGATTTCTCTAGCGTGTCAACTAGTGGTGATTCAGTGAAGAAGAAGAGAGGTAGGCCTAGGAAATACGGTCCTGATGGGGCTAACATGACACTAGCATTGTCCCCAATGTCTGCGGCCACACCTTCCACAGGAGGGATCACCTCGAGTGAGAAAAAAAGAGGGCGGCCACCCGGGAGTGGACGGAAGCAGCAGCTGGCACCTCTGGGCGAGTTTTTGTTTTTCTTTACATAATTGTAGTTAGTTGCACTGTTTCATTCTGTATTACATGTTCTAGATAAATTAGTTTTAAGATTAGATAAACATGCTTAAGTAAAAAATAAGACAAAAAGATAATGCATTTGATAAGTTGAATTTCTAAGCTTTATCTCCAAACGCCACAAGCTGTCAAGTGCACTTGGAGTCTTTGGGGAATAAGGATGATACTAGTTTTAGTTTTTTTATTAAGCTTTCCAATTTGTGGTTGATTGCTGGTTCTTTTTCTTTTTCTTTTTGAATGTGCATCAAAATGAGTGGTTTTTGCCGAAGCCACTGGCACATACAGCAGTAGTCTAACTGGTGTTTGATCAGTGTAATGTTCATTGTAAATTTGCATGTTTTGATCATGAAACTTGAACCCCAAGGGTATGCTCTCTTCTAGGTGGGTTAAAATGTATTCCGGCCTCTCTTTCCTGCCCCCCTACAGTGAAAAGCCAAAAGGAACTGGTAAAATAGAAAGGGAAAGAATCTAGGAAATGCTACTTGTTCCCATGCCTTGAATGTTAGAGCGAATGGTCTCTCTCTTTCAGCCACATTTAGATTTAAAAAGATATATATATTTTTCTTTTTTTCTGGGTGGGAGAAAATCACGTGTAAAAGATTTACTTTCTTTGATCAGGTGAATGGATGAACAACTCAGCTGGACTAGCTTTTACACCGCATGTCTTGCACATTGGAGTTGGAGAGGTATTTTTCAAATTCTTTTTAAGTCTAATATGTGTCAAGGATATGCTTTCAATGGTGAAATTATTTTGTTCCAACTTCAATTTAATATGCTTGAGGACATGGTTTCTGGCTTTTTCCCTTATCGTGTACGGTGTGCCCAATTGGATAGTTATTGTTGCATTATATGAAAATTGAACATCTATACATGTGCAATTAGTGAGCTACAGATTCCTTTTTTGTTCAATAATATAATATTTCACTAATAAATTGTTTGCATTACTATGGCAAAAGAAGTGATTATATTTATGAATTTCTCCTGTAGGATGTTGCAGCCAAAATATTGGCATTCGCACAGCAAAGGCCAAGGGCTTTATGCATCTTGTCGGCTAATGGATCTGTTTCTTCGTTGACACTGCGACAACCTACCACTTCTGGTGGCACTGTCACATATGAGGTTAAGATTCTTTCAGTGCCCTCTTGCTCTTAAATTCAGTAAAATCAGGATAATATTTTTACGATCGCTCAGCTTTAAAATTGGCTAAACCGAAGCCATTTAGAAATTTAACTATTAGATGGAGATATCAGGGTTTTTTTTGCCATCATTCAGCTTTAAAATTGGCTAAACTGAAGCCATATAGAAATTCAACTGTTAAGTGGCGTTCTATGGTTTGATAAGTGACCATTATTAGAATATATTGTTTCACCAGTGTTTTAATCAAACTTTTACAATCTCACTCTCAATAGTATATATTGTTAAAGTGCTTCTTCTGTGGCATGCCTGATTTACTATGGTTTTGCATCTATTTTTGAAAAGTAAAAATGTTTCTTGCCTTGAACTCTTGGTGAAAAGGATTAAAAGCTTATCTTCACACGATTACTTTTATGTTATCATTTATATGTATTTTGAAAGAACTTGCCGATAGTAGATATCAGAAAAATTCATTTCCAAGAAAGTATATTCGTTTCTTTGTGCAGAAACTTGAATTCCATTGTAACCTATTCTTGCTGATGAAAATGAGATGACAAACTTTGGGTTTAATCGCAAAAATGATGACTTTTTAGTGACATCTCATTACCATTTAATACTTTTTTGCTCATTCCATTGTAAGTATTTTTTTGTTATCATTTTGTATTTGTTTTTCTAGTGCCACTCTACATGTCTTCATTCCGGTATTCTCAATCATATTCAAGCTCTAAATTTAATATCTTTGAAGTATTCTCAGATTTATCCCTTGCCATTTAGTAATTACTAGGAAATAACAATATCATTATTATATGGTGAATTTTTATCCACAATTTCTCTGTCTCTCTCTCTCCCTTTTTTTTTTTTTTGTGTTTTTTGGGCTATGATGATGCCCTTCTTTATTCAAGAATATTTTCTTTTTATCTCACGTGTCTTCCCTTTTTCAGGGCCGATTTGAGATATTATGTTTGTCGGGTTCTTATTTGCTTGCTGAAAGTGGTGGTCCTCGCAATCGGACTGGTGGTATAAGTATTTCGGTTTGTAGCCCTGATGGACATATCATTGGTGGTGCTATTAGCGGTAACCTCGTTGCCGCAAGTTCAGTGCAGGTATGCATGTGATTACTTGTTAATTTGAGATCCTGTTTTGCAAAGCTTTAAAAGTTAACTTACAAGTAAATTTTAACATAAATAACTTTTCTAATCAGTTAAAGTTGGAAATAAGTTGCTTATGTTGACAGTAAGGAAAAAGCATAACTACCTTTTTAATCAGTTAAAAATAATTCACTTATTTTGACCATAAGGCAAAAAAAGCAACTTTTTGCTGCATTTCTTCAGCTCTAGCCAAAAATGCTCTTATTTCCTATGCTATCATTACTCAAATATCATGTAGTCGAATTGACACGGTGCATTATCAATGTTAATATAGGTGGTTGCATGTAGCTTCGTATATGGTGGTTCAAAGGCAAAGAACAAAACTGAGTCCGGACCTAAAGATGAAAAGAATCCTGCAGACGAGTCTGCTGAGAAGTCATTAACCCCAGTTAGTGCTACCCCACGTCAAAATCTCACTCCAAATTCTGCGACTGGTGTTTGGTCACAAGATTCACGTCTTGATATGAAAAATTCAACTAGGTTCTTAGGTAGCAATGGTAAGAGGGTTGTTGGAACTGATAGGAACTATTAATATTTCTAGCAGGGTAAGTGTGTTATCTTGAAATCAAACTGGATTAAATTGGTGGGATTTCTTTAATTCGGTCTCCATTGCATTATAACCCGAATCTTTAATTTGCAGTACTATTTGGTGATGCATTATTAACCTTCTTCCCCCACCCCCCCCCCCCCCCCTCCCCTCGCACGAAAAGGAGAAGCTATGCAAGTCCTCTGGTGGTTACCTCTCTGTACTTGTAGCATGTTTGGGTGAGGTTATACTTCAAATTAAGTACCCATCCTATGGCTAAAAGATGAGCATCAAATTTGGCGCTAATCTTCTAGCATAATCCCAGGAGAATGGCTACATTTACAGCCTTTTTGTACAGCCAATTAAACAGCCCCCTCACATTTGTGGGGCCCATCCCATGTGAGGGGGCTGTGTAATTGGCTGTACAACTAGATATTTTCTAATCCTAGCCATACATGCTCTTAATCTAGTTTTACAGGGCCAGAATAATAAAGACTACTTTTCACCTCCAATAGAAAGCACTTTTATGTACCAAACAAATAGAACAATACATTATTTACAAAATCATGGCTGTCATAAAGATAACACTCTTAACGAAACACAGATTGGGAGTTTTCAACACACTTAGAGAAAATGAAGATGATGAGGCTTGTTGATGGAGACATCCCATCAGGATGTTTTTATTACTAGTAACTGAATTTCACAATGAGATTACTCTAATGCTTGAGCCTTTTCGAGCAGCTTCTTTATATCCTTCTGCAAAGAAATGCGAGGGAACAATTTTTGAGTTCACGCTCAACCTTCTTTACCAATTATAAAATCGAGATTACAATATAGTAGGATGATAATTACCTCGATACTAAGGGGAGATGTGGTGGGAGCATAACGATCAACAACACACCCCTCTTTGTCGACAAGAAATTTGGAGAAGTTCCATTTGATGCTGTCACCCAAGAAACCACCTTTGCTCGACTTCAGGAACTTGTATAGTGGAGCAGCATTGGAACCATTTACATCGACCTGAATCAAGATAACGAGCAACGATTTAAACCTTTGTCAACAAATTCATGCGCAGAGGCAACAGAGGAACTTAATCTAATCAATCACACATCAAGAGCACGTTTGGCATGAGTACTGAACAAGACTCGACAGTACAAGTCTCTTACATTTGACAGAAGCAGCTATATTTGTCATAGATTACAAGAATTTTTTTTATCGCTAATGCTGTTAAAGAGATGATATGGAAGTAGAATTTTTGTACGAAGAAATAGTTCGTTTATGAAAATATAGAAATAAGCTTTTCAATGATTCCTACCTTGTCAAATATGGGATACTCGGCCTTAAAACGGGTGCAAGCAAACTGCTGAATTTCTTCATTAGTGCCAGGTTCTTGGGAGCCAAACTGATTGCATGGAAATGCCAGTATCTCCAAACCTATGTAATAAGAAAATCATTATTCAGGCACTCAAGAAATAGGAAGTGAGCTTTCTACCATTTGTGTTCCATCACCTATCGTTCAAGAAATGACATTTTCTCGGAATTAAGACTTTCAACTTCCACAGTTTGCTGTTTAAACCTTTAAACATGGAAAAATAGAAAAGCCTTGATGGATATTTTACGGATGCCTTACTAAAAATAAGCACTTATTCTAGTCGTAAATGTCTACATTGATTTGTACGTTCATTATAAGGGAAATTGCACTATACGATTTTCTCCCAAGTCGTCATTTCTTCTTTCCCTGCTCTTTCTATTTCCCATTTTACATCACTGTAGTTGCGTGAAAGCAAAATTTCAGCCCAGTGACAAAATAATTGAAGTTATTTACTCGTGTTGCAGAAGATCACTACCAATTATCAAAACCAAGATATGGAAAACCAAATCAAACCTTGATCCTTGTACTTCTCGTATAGCTTTGTTAACTCCTTGTAGTTTGAATTGGTAAGGCCACTGCAGCATACAAGAAAAAAAGATAATTTTCTTTAGAAAAGGAGTGCAAATGTACAACTAGGTCAGTGCGTAAATATGCAGGAAATTCAATATTAAACAGAATAAAAACTGAAAACTTGGAAATTGGCTTGCAAGGATACTTACAACATTCTTCAACCGTATGAATCCTTGGGGGTGGGAGAACATATAAATCTATCATGATTCAAGATTGATGACTATGAGAAGATTCTAATGACTAAGAATACGTAATTAACAGTTCGTAATATATTTGTAAAAAGCTTCTAAACCGCATCACTCAATTGCAGATAGAAGCTTATTTTCTATCACCTAATCGAGTTCTTGATTCGTCGTCTTTCAACTGGAAAAGAAAATGACTTTGGATTTACAGCATTGAAATAGCACAAGCATACTTCTAAACATAAGAACATTATATGCAATATACTACCATATCAGGCACACGCCAAAAGTTAAGAATGCAAAATGATTTTTTTTTCATCTCAGGAGTATTTAGTATAAAGTATATATGACAGTATAAATCGAGCGTAAAAGGACTCGGTGAAGCTACCACTGCGATGCAACATTAACAATCAACAGGACCTTTCCTTCGTAAATGCTTAAATCGACGTCATTCCCTTTAGCATCCTGCAATAACAGAATTTAGATTACAATAGTTTTGTCAATGTAACAATTTTTTCACATTCGAAACGTAAGAATAGGACCATTAAACCAAGATCACACAACAATATAAAAAAATCTTCTATATCTCCTACTGCGCATCAAACATGCCGAATAATTTTACGTACCATTAAACCAAGATCACACAACAATATAAAAAAGAAGCTCACAACAAAAAATTACAGTTTACGTAAAAAAAAACATTAAGAAATAAATGACAAAACCCATTAAAAAACCTTAACATCATCATCAAAAGTTAAACAAAGAGGTAGAAAATGGGTACCTTCACAGTGAAACTATGAACTGATTGTGGTTTAGTTGAATTGCTTGCCATTGCGCGATCTAATCTCAAACCTCAAAACAGAGACTTTCTGGAATTAATATCAGAGGAACACAAAAACCCTTCTTTGATCGGCTGAGAAATCAAAGAGATTGAAGAAATATGTAGTGAATTAAAACGGGTTTGTCAATTTTGAAGGCAAACTGAGGAACAGAGCATGTGGGATAGAGTAATGCCAAATTTATAGATTTTTCAAACAAGAAAAGTCAAAATTGTGAGCTTATTATTGTAGACTTACGTATATGAGACGATCCTTCTACACGTGGCAGATCATGGTTCTGCCACGTGTCAATAATATATCCAACCATGAGAAGCTTCGAAATTTCATGGGATTGATGGACTGGATCATTTTAGCTCCGAAAATAAATGGTTGTGATGAGCTCAAGTGTGAAAATGTTTCATAGTATAACTTTGTTCTTCTAGATGTTTTCTAATGAGAGGGACACAAGATTTACGTGTTTTGTATGAACTCTGCAGCATTTCATTTGCACAATAATTATCGAGTTAAAGGGTCAAAATAAATGAGTGCTCAAACGACCTTTGAGCATATAAATTACGAGTAATTTGATAGATAAAATCCATAAATAGATAATGATTCGAGTTTTTACTCTTTTTTTCCAATTACAAATTAATTCACAATTTTAACCAAGACTAGGTGTAATCAATGTGCAATGCATGTTTGCTTAATTTATATTTAATAATTTCGTTTAGGAATTAATTTGTTATTAATAAAGATGTAATTTTTTGGTTAATTAAATAATTCATGATATAATATTTATGTAATTAATAAATAATTAGACGTTGTGATATATTAAAAAAAAGAGCATTAATCTATAGCATGGTCCTATAAATAAACATCGCAACATCTTCCTCACGTCACCTCCCATCTCTAAGAACTGTGAGCAGTTGGCCCAAACAATCCCTGCCTGAAAAACCTTGGTCATCCGCTCACGCCTTTCCAGATCTTGTGATAATACAGCAGCAACCAAACCATATTGGGTGTCATTTGCTAGTTCAATGGCTTCATCTTCAGTTTTGAATGTTTTGACACAAAGAACCGGTCCAAATACTTACTCTCTCCAAATTTGCATGGAGGTCTTTACATCTGTTATTATGGCCGATTCGATGTAGTAGCCCTTCTTTAAATGCCGAGGGTGTTCACCCCCACACAAGATGGTGGCACCTTCATCCTTTGTTGTTGAGATGAACTTCATTACTTTCTCGTACTATCCACTGCTTACCACAGGACCAAGCCTGCAACCTTCCTCCATGGGGTCTGAAATTTTGATGTTCTTGCACCACTTTACAAGCTTGTCCAAGAATTCTGCTGCAATGCTTTCATGCACAAGAAGTCGAGAAGTGGCACTGCAAATCTGACCATTTGTCCAAAAGCAACCAAAAAGAGACCACTCAGCAGCTTTGTCTAGATCAACATCCTCAAATACAACAATTGGGCTTTTTCCACCAAGCTCAAGTGNGATACATGTATTTTGCTTGGTTTTGACAAAAAATGACTAAATATATTTTCTTTAGAAAGCCCAAATAATGTAAGAACCAAATGCAGAAGAAGTTGAAAGTGCTGTTGCTTCTTAGATAATTACTCATGAATGGTAAATATTTTCCATAATAAAATTCTTCAACAATAATTTGATTTGTTTTAACATTCACTCCCCAAAGAAGCCAACCAAACCTCTATTCTAAGCTCATTATAGGAAAATTTGCGATCTTGCTTTGCAATTAAAGCTAAGTTACTATAAGTAACTTCCCCTCAGAGAATAATCAGAACCCAACAAAGGACAAACGCAATGGAATAAATAAAAATAAAAAAAGCACCACCAAGTTGTCTCCATATGGTTACTTGAAAAATAATCAAAATAAATTTGGAGTCTCTTTAGAACCCCAAATAATGATAAAAATGAAAGAAACTACTTAAAATTTATTCATTTATTTTACAAACAAACCGGGTATAAAGCATAATAAGTTCTGGGTTCTATTCAGAAACCCTCAAACAATTAATAACAACTAAAATCAATAATTTCTCATGAAATTTTTAACATTTCCGGCAGAGAATTGGGGAAAAAAAAAACAGAAAAAAATAACCTTTTCAAGCTCATCTTGTATTTCTTGGAGTTTTTCAATGGTGATAACGAGCTCTCCATCAATATGCTCTGTCCCATTGTTTTCTTCCTTCGCTTCTCCCAATTTCTGCTACTTCCCTTTGTCCAATCCTATAAGGTGAAGTCAGAAATCTAATAATTCAATATATTTCCAAAATTAAAAACTACTACGCATACCCATCAAATATAATTTTACTTTACATTTTGAAATTGCAGAACACGATTAGTCACAACTCATTAAACACAGAAATTCGTCGAATAACCCATTTCAACCACCAACAACAAAGGCTTGTGACTGGTCCACCAATTTAATATACTTCCAAAATTTACCACGACTGCAAATACCAAACAATTTTAGTTCAAACACAATTCAATATGGTCAATAATCCACCAATTCAAATAGTTTCGAAATTGAAGAACACGAAGTAGTCAGAACTGATTAAATACTAAAAACCCCACTACTAATCTGTAAAAAGGAACCAATTCAACGCATGACATCTCGAAGTATAACCAATTTCTGATGAAATAAACAGCATACTACCTGAGCAAAGCAGAAAAAAATTGACCTATTTCGTTGGGCGCTGATAAAGAGAACAGGCCGACTGTTGAGGCGATGGCGATAATCCGTCGGAGATGGTGAGCAAAGCAGAAAAAAATTGAACTATTTCTAAGCTCATTTTCTAATGGTTGCTTGTCAAATTTATCTGCCTAATACAGTGAACTATTGATCTTGGAACATTCTATAGATTAAGAAATTTTCTTTGCTTATTCACATAGAGAATTGGACGGCCCCAAAAAAAAAAAATCACAGAAGAAAAACAATGGAGAATTTACAAGGAAGATGGCTGTGGAACGTTTAATTTTTGATGGTTTCAATTGAGAAAAAAAACCATACTTTCATTAACTTACTTTTTACAAAAGTAACTTCTAAATTCAACAAAACATGCTTTCCTATCCTCATCCACAATATAGTTGAGTTTAGCCCTCGACCTCAAGAGAACTCAGCATAAGAAGCTCCACTACCGAATAGATAGGTAAAACTTTTTTGACTTGCAAAATACTAACAATAACTAATTTTACAAAACATAAAGATAGAAATTAGGATGTGAAAGGTAAAACTAATCAGCTGGGTAGCTAAACCAATCAATCAATTGATTAAATTGATATATATTTCAACTGATGCTCCAACGAAACCTAGTTTTACGGAACAAGCCAAACAAGCAAACAAGCAAAGAGAAAACATTAACAACAAAACATAACAAAATGTACTCATCAACCCGATGATCATATCCAACAAAACACAACTATGCATCTTAGTGCTTGATTAGGCAGCATCCTCTTCATCGTATTCCTCCTCTTCGTCGTATTCCTCATCAGCAGTTGCATCTTGATACTGCTGGTATTCTGCAACTAGATCATTCATGTTACTCTCGGCTTCAGTAAACTCCATCTCGTCCATACCTTCGCCGGTATACCAATGCAAGAAAGCCTTCCTCCTAAACATGGCAGTGAACTGCTCGCTGACCCTCCTAAACATCTCTTGGATTGAAGTCGAGTTACCAACGAAAGTCGAAGCCATCTTCAGACCAGTGGGTGGGATGTCACAAACGGTGGATTTAACATTGTTTGGAATCCACTCAACAAAGTAGGATGAATTTTTGTTCTGGACATTGATCATCTGCTCGTCGACTTCCTTCGCGCTCATCTTGCCACGGAAAATGGCCGATGCGGTGAGGTACCGGCCATGTCGAGGATCAGCAGCACACATCATGTTCTTAGCATCCCACATTTGTTGGGTGAGTTCGGGAACAGTAAGGGCACGGTACTGCTGTGATCCACGAGATGTGAGTGGGGCAAAACCAACCATAAAGAAGTGAAGTCGTGGGAATGGTATAAGATTGACTGCCAATTTCCGAAGATCAGAGTTGAGCTGTCCAGGGAAGCGAAGGCAGCAAGTGACACCACTCATGGTGGCAGATATTAAGTGGTTCAGGTCTCCAACTAGAAAGAATAACAGACTGGTTAGAATTTAGAAATAGGATCATCAGTCTTCAACCAAATAGCATTTAAGAACATTTATTCCCAAATCTGGGACAAAATCATTGAACAGAATCACATTCAATGGAAAATAGCACCATGAGGATTATATATTCCGTGTTTTCACATGACTAATTTCAGCAAAACATAATTTATAACATCTGAGGCTGGCCAACAGATTGTCAAGACTAATGACAAAACCAGAGGCATGGGGTGATTTCAGTCATTAAACATCGCCACAACCAACACAATTTATTTTAATTATCAAATTTGAAGGTTTTAATTACCAGAAAGACTGTAATAAAAGGAATATCAATATCTTTCAGTAAAATTGAAAGAAGAAAACTTCATAGGGTAATTTGGGTTGTTTCTTCTGATTTTCAAGAAGCAAAAGAATAAAGATTCAATATTCCTAGCTTCTGAAAGAAAGAAAAACAGAAATTTAGCAAGGATTCAGCAACTTACAACTGGGAGTTGTGAGCTTGAGAGTGCGGAAGCAAATATCATAGAGTGCCTCATTGTCAAGAACCATACACTCATCAGCATTTTCAACAAGCTGGTGAACTGAGAGTGTTGCATTGTAGGGCTCCACCACTGTGTCAGACACCTTAGGAGATGGGAACACAGAGAATGTCAGCATCATTCGGTCTGGGTATTCTTCCCTTATCTTGGATATCAATAAGGTCCCATTCCTGAGCCAGTGCCTCCCCCCAATGAATGACAAACCTGAAAACCTGTAAACAACACTACAATCATCAGGAAACAACCATAAATTTGACACTATGAGTAATACTCCTACACGCACAAGAAACATCTAATAAAAAAATATGTCAGAATTAGTTTAAGCAAAATACAGGACAAATGGATTCAGGCAATCCGTATGAAAAGCCATGTGAGTTAATATGGGGGTGTTTGACACCCATTTTAGTAGAAAAATGTGTTTTTGAATAATGATTGATGGAAGAATGTGTGGTTAAAAAGTAAGGAGAATTTTTAGGTTTATGTGTAATATTATTTTATTGATAGAATGTGTGGTTAAAATGAAGAAAGAGAAAAAAATGAGAATGAAAAGAAAATGGGTGCAAAGGAGAATTTATAGGTTTATGTGTAATATTATATTATTGATAGAATGTGTGGTAAAAATAAAGAATGAGAAAAAAATGGGTGCCAAACGGGGGCATAGTTGCACTATAAATGGTTTCCAGAGAAAAAATTACGTGCAATCCAGACGCATATAGATCACTAATACATGCAAAGGTTTCTGTGTGATATGAATTTTTGAGCATGTGAAACACGACTTAGCTTTCCCAACACCAAATAATAAAATTTCATGTCCATCTTTGTGTTGGCAAAAAATTGTAATGCAGATATCACTAACTGCAAAAACTGGATGTCAGCCGCATACCAAATTTGCAATTGAAGGGAACCTCAAATATTTGCAGAAATCAATTATGATACCCCGAATGCAATGTGGTGCTAATTTCAAGTGAAACTAAATTGATCCATAAGTGATGCATCAACCTATAGAAATGCATTATGCAGTGAATTCCAGCCAAGTGCGTAAATATGAGATGGACCCGTGAGGAGAAATAAGACACATCACACAAGAGACACACCGTTTAACGAAGACATGAATGACACATCAGAAATCAATTGATTTTAACATCTCTCAATGAGACAAAACCACCTCAAAGTTTAACAGGTACAAGAATCAAAATGTAGAACTACTTAACCTTTAAATAGGCTATCTACACTTAACACAGAATGCAGTGGCTAGCAAATGGATCAGACAATATGTTTTCCATATATCGTCGTGAATTTGATATAATAAGGAAATTACAAATACTCAAAAATCAAACATTTATTAATGAATATATGTACATAAAAATAGATGATAAATACAGATCTAGATACAGGCACCCAGCAAAAGAGACAATTTTACCTTGGAGGCAGTCGCAGTTCTCGGCCTCCTTCCTCACCACGTCAAGCACCGAATCAATAAGTTCAGCACCCTCAGTGTAATGGCCCTTGGCCCAGTTATTCCCAGCACCAGACTGTCCAAATACGAAGTTATCCGGCCGGAAGATCTGTCCAACCGGGCCAGCGCGGATGCTGTCCATGGTACCCGGTTCAAGATCCATGAGGACAGCCCGGGGGACAAATCGGCCGCAACTAGCCTCGTTGTAGTACACATTGACCCGCTCCAGCTGCAGATCCGAGTCGCCGATGTACTGTCCAGTGGAATCGATGCCGTGCTCGGTGCAAACCACCTCCCAGAACTTTGCTCCGATCTGATTGCCGCATTGGCCGCCCTGAATGTGTAGGATTTCACGCATTTTGGGTGTTGATTTTAGTGAGTGTTGTCTTGGGAACAAGGTTTTGGGGAAAGTATATCGAGGAAAATGGGAATATATGGGGCAGAAAGCGGGGGAGGATTTTTAGGTTAATTTTGAAATTGTGATTAATAGTGCGCGTAGTGAGAGGTTTATGTCGTGGATTGGGCACGTGGCATGTGATAAGTGGACGAAGTTGACGAAGAGTCAAAGTCTAGTCCTAGGATTTTTGGAAAAATTCTCTGCCGGCCCTCAAACTATTACAATTATCTCACTTAGGGACTGATGTTACAAATTTCCTAAATCATTTGCTAAGCCCATATTGATTCTCATTCTTTAAAAAAGAATAAAATTCTACGGGAATTATTTTTTACTACACATTCACACAATAAAATATTTTATACCTAAATCCAATTTTTTAACCATATATTCTCCTAAAACATTGTTCAAAATTCCAATTGATAATTGATCTACGTGACATACACACGACAGTTTGTTATTTGATACATTATTAATGTAATAACTTTTAATGTCTTATGCATCAAATAGCAAATTGCAATGCGAATACTTCGCAGAACGACTATCGGTAGTCTTTACTATTAGAGGGTATTTGATGGAGATTAAAATTAGATTCTTAGTAGATTGTGATAAAAATTTTTGAAATATGTGGTTGAAAAGTTGTGATTAATA